TTATTTTGATTTTGGTTAGTTTGTTTACTTGTAGTGTATCGTTATCGTTACACATAACAATAAAATATATACTCTATTACTTATACTTTTAAACTAATTGTAAAAGAAGGGGGGTAAATTTGTTTTTTTTACTGTATAACTAAGAACAGTAATTAAAAAAAACTCTAAAAAGCATAGTAATATTATTATTACTATTTAAAGCCTATAACAGCGAAGTTTTTCAAAGAATATTCGAGAAGAAAAGTGGTCGAACATCCACACTTTACTTAGCGAGGTGCTAATTCATCCATGCATAAGAATGGGACAACTTTGCGCCGGTAAACTTTTAATAGTGGCCCTCTCTGGGCCTGAATCGCTTCGCAACTTCCAGCCATTTGCCTTAAGAACATTATTCATTGAAATAAATATTGTTATCCGTTAATCCTTAATTAAGTAGGTATAGTAGTTTTTGTTCTAATTAGCCATGGTAAATTTACTCTTGATTTAAGTTACTCTTACTTATGGTAATATGAAAGCACGGCTCGTAAGTTTTATTATTATTGTAGGTAAATAGTCAGATAGTGCGTTTAAGATTTTTAAAACTTATCGTGAGTACATCAGAACTTTGCCAGCAAATTCAATAACAATAAAATTCATACACAATGTTGTAATAGCAAATAAATGCAATAATGATACCACTAGAGCAGTACACAATAAACATCACAGCCCATCTGTAACTATGTCTTAAATCACACGTACCATAAGTTTTTGTTTGAATAGACGCCCGCTCGTGTTCGTGGTAGGAAATCGTAAAATAAGATAGCCAAATGGTTTTATTACCCCCTAAAACTAGCAGTAAAATAGTAAGTGCCCGGCAATGAATATCTTTATGAGATCATTTGATTGATTACTGAATTTTCTGGGAATGAAATCGACAGACCAAGCGGTCGTATCATATTTTGTTTTTATAACAACTGTTTCATTATAACCGTTAGTTATTTTAAGATTTACAACGAAATATACTTTGTTTTCTCGGCTTCATTAGTAAGCAGAATTGATGTTAATTGTTCTATTAGCAACTAAACTATGTACTAACGAAGTCAATAAACGCGGCCGCATTATTTGCGTACGCGCTTAGCACTCACAAAACGCAAATATCTCACAACTAGAACCGTTTAAAGGTACTTTACTAAATAAGTTATTCTCGTCTACAGGGCGTCATTCGAATATAAAACAGAAGGCTATTTATAATTTAGCCAGCTAATTTAACGGTTTCTACTGCGTAAAGTAATTTAAAAAGAAAATAACAATTAGGTACTCCAATGAATAAGAAAAAAGGGACCGAATAGATCGTAAATTCCAAATAAGATCAGCAGTCAACCTGTGCAAGCGAAGTCGTAACTCCGTAAGACAAGCTCGTAAATGCTTAAGTAGTGGTAAACGCAGTCCCCGGACAACATCTTCTGATTTGATTGATCTTCACAAGACAGACCCTTTGCGTTTTTACAGGAAACGTCAAGAAAATGAGGAAAAAACGGGAAACATAATTAATTACTTGATTTGGACATTAATGACCCGCTCAAAGAGGACGAGGGTTGATTAGTGTGTTTTCTACAGACGTGTACCTTCTGACACTGGTTATTTTAACGAGAGTAACTCTGTTGCGAAATGAAAGTGAATATTTTTTTAAACTGAATGCATTGAACATTATGTTGAATTTGAAATCGAAACTCTTATTTACCTTTTCCAACGACCTTAATAACTCATAAAACATTCTGTATAAAACAGAGGCTCGGAGTTTTCCTTCAATATTTTCACAGCATGAAGTGTTTGCAGTACAACACAAAGAGAGAACATAAAAAATACTTTTTAAAAACGAGTCGCCATTCCGCCGATAGGCACCAAATGAATATTCAGGGCAACAAAGGAGAAGGGGTGTCACAAAAAGGGCACTGCCTTAATTTTCATGGCAGAAAAAAAGAGAGGCAATCGCAAAACCATAAAATAGCAAATAAATAAGCAACGTTGGGACACGTCCCTATTTAATTATGAATTAAGGCCGAGCAGTAACGAGATCACAATGTAATTAAGATTACTGCGGCGAGGTTTTTTCAGGGCGCCCCTAACAAGTGAGAGTAAATGGACGGCAAAACGCCGCTAAACTAAAATTGCTATCTTGTTTTGCCTAGGATTACACGATAACGAATTAATGAGTCTTCGATGTATTGTTATTTATTAGGAAATAATAGTTTTATTTATGCGTTTTATACCTTTAGAACAGAATTTCTAATTAAGTTAGTTTAGTAAAACATCGCTTAAAATTTAACTGCGGTTTGTATTACGAGTTTCTATCTAACTTGATACATCTATCTATCAATCGTACTATATAAAAATAAAGCATTTAAACTTAAATAAATGTATAATGTTGGAAAACGGCACTATCGCGTGCAATGTGTATTATCAACTCTTCGCACAGGCTACACAACAATGTATAGTCCCAACAAGAATCATTATAAAGGTTTTACATATAATTCCTATTGGTATAAAAAACATTTCTCTTGTACGCAACAGCCAGTATGATATTTTATTTTCGCAGTGACATAATGACCGGTGACAGCGGGGGAAATAAACTGCCTGAGGGAAGAATAAGAAAATGGTTTCTTTTCAACGAGACGGTTCGTTTCTATTTAATTTGCGTAAATGATACCTACGGCGATGTTAAATATAAGGTTTGGGAATGAGAACACACTATTGTCCACGCTTACCGAAAATTGTATAATAATAACAAGAAATACTCAAAAGTTCATAACCGATATTTATCTATATTTGTATTATAACTTTCGTGAGACATTCTAAACAAACTATTATGTTTTCGGCTTACTCACGTAATTATTTGACGAGAAACTCGTTTGGTTTCAAGCCATGCTAGAAGCTCATATTCATGAGCAGCATTTCGCGACCCGCGACGCGACGACTGTCGCGCTGCTACTACTAGTCGAGTTCCTCGTCAAATAATTACATGAGTAAGCCGAAAACATAGTTATTTATCTAATTTTGAGCTTCTCACGAGTCACTTATGTAGTTGCATGCAGCTTCACTTTGAATATATAAAAATATTTATTTTTATATCCAGGAAAAACAAATTAATTTTTTACTTTCAGATTGTAACTTAGTTATTTCTGCTACTTAAAGCAAACGCAAAATTTTTACACAACCGTATTTAAGACGTCAGAAAGTCGTGAATTGAGTCTTTAATTTGAATTGCAGTTAAACGTAAACAGAGCTAATTACTACCCTAAGGCTTCGCTTTGAGTTTAAACCCAACATTTTTACTTTTATACTTAAAGCAATGCGTAGCGTAAATTGCTGAGCGGATGAAAACACAAACAGTACATGAAACTTTCGAACGTAATTTATGAATTTTCGATTTTATTATTGAAATTAGACTTTATCACTTTATATTATGTTTCAGTAAGTATAATTGACAAATGATGGACATATCTTTTATACGAAGCGTATTAGTATAATATGTAAGTATTATGTGTCAGTAAACTATGAGAAATTTACTTAGCAGTGACGAAAAATGTCCCCAAAGTGGAATTCATTTGACAGATTGTGTTAGCTTGACAAGCTGTGTGCTTGTAATAGTACATGTAATAAATAATCTGTGCCAGCAATGTAACACGTTATTCCGTTTTAATGGATGATGCAATCCATTTGGTGGTCAGAACACACGGCCAGCACTGGTCTCGACAAACAAAGAACTGTTTGCACAGTACCAAACAAAGTGCGCATGCAAAACTCGCCCCGTATTTATGTAAATACACGATGAAACAACTGTGCAACGGGAAAGACCCCAAAACTGCGACCTTGTTTATTTTTAAAACAGTTTTCTTCTATGTTGATTGTTTTCTCCCTTTTACCACGTGCACGTTTTGTGTCGCGACTATTTCCACAGTGTAACTACAACATTTCGTTGATTAGTACTGTGTACGCCGGGAGACATTGTTGACGGTTTTAATCTTTAGGTTAACGGTTCCCGGTTTATTTGTTACAGTGAAATATGGGCAGTAAATAACCTATAAAGTATTGTTAACGGTTTATTAAAATATTTTACGTACTTATTTATTTATTAACTATGACTTTGCTTTACGTTTTATACCTAAAAACGCTATGTTCTAATACTAAAGAAATTTACTTGTACAATTTATCAAAATTACAGCTATCAATTTTACCTCTTATATGTAAATTATTCGTAATGGATCCGGAACACAAAATGTTAAAAATAACAAATATAATAACAAGCCGATAGAATATCACATCTCATTGCAAACGCAATAAATTATCTAGCGAAGGAGTGAAATGGGGAAATGTTCAAAGAAATGGGATAATGGAAGTTCTTTTCGTATACTTGAAATTGTTTTATGAATATTGAACAAAGGACTTTATTTTTACGCATTCGTATACAATTAATATTTAATTCTGAGTAACGCCTTTTCCATTTAGGCGCCTTTCAGTCGGTTTATTCATCTCATTCATAATTAAAAAACAACAAAAAATATCCAGACAAAATTTGGTAAAAATTAATGTTAAGGGTGATATACTCTGGCCACTTAAAGGGGTTAAATGGTTAATCTTATCGATTTAATCTCACATGTAAAAATTCATCCCGGTATCGACAACTCAGGGGTGGAGATTAATAAAAATTTGGCCCCCAAACCCTGAGGGTAGCTCTTTATGGCACGTTGGCTTTTTACGAGGGACCTTTTATTTTAATACTTATTACGGTTTCGCGATTCCGCCGTTTTATCGCGATTAATCGTTTTTCAGTTAATTACACATTTCAACGAAAGAAGTGCCGTTAAAATGTTAAGTAAAATCAGATGGATATAGAACGTGGGTATATTTGAATTTATAATTTTTCCACATTTGAAGTGAAGTGGCCTGATTTTTAACTAGGTCGATCTTTTAATGTTTAGTTTATACGTGTAATGTTTCATGTAAAAAATAAAATCTGTTACCTTTTTCGCAGCTGAGTCTTGATTGTTATTGTCGGCGTGGTGCGGAGCGGCGGGCGCCATGACGGTGACGCCACTCTGCGAAAGAAGCTCGTCTGAGCCTCTCTGTGGACAATACAGAAATAAATTAAATACACTGGTCAATCAGCACAACATTTGCTACAAAACAAAAACTACACAAATACTACTATGTACTTCATTATAGATATTTTTACTACCAACGGCCCAGTGCAGAGGCTGGCCAAATGGCAGCTGTGCAGTATCGTGAGTAGGATTCCCACACATAACAATTCTTAGATTGAATAACAAATTATTGTTCCGACGCGAGATTTGTAAGAGCATCCACGATACAGGAGAAATCATCACCACATCTAGATCGAGACATTATTTTAATCAATGTATTGTGATACACAAACTACAATTAACTACATTGAAATCGAACAATACTTTGTGAAATAGTATCTAATAATAGCACGTTCATTTGGTCTAAGCTGTGAGAAAATAATGAACCTACATCAAACATTATACACACACCAATTTAAAGAATTGGCCTAAAAAGTAATCTAATTAAAATAAAATATTAAATAGGCTAGACCAATGAATAATAAATTACCTACACACACGATTACTCTTTACATTCAAATGCATGCAATGTATATCATGTAGGTAATTAGCAGCTCAGTAGCCTGATGAATGCTTCGTCCCATCACATTAAATAGTTCACATTACAAATCAAAATATAGGCAATTTGAAATCAATGTACGAGCATTGAAAACGAATGCTTTTAGTTAAAATTTATAATTGGACGAATTGAAAAGCAGAAACTGGTTGTCTGTTACAAATAATATTTTAGACCGTCCAGCATTTTTTTTTGTAATGTAGCCGTAAATGGCGCCTTGGACTTAGTATTTTGAAGCGAGGACCTGTAACCGTGGCATAATATTACAACGCGAACCGAACCTTAAACGAGGGGAAATAAGGTCGCGTCGCTGCCAAAATATTGACAGGTGACTTTGCATGCGCGAAGACGTCATCTCCCCTGACACAAAGGGAAAAAGTAACAAAATAAAACAAAAACACAATTCCGGGACACGCCAACGCACACGTCAACCCGCCCTTCCCCGGGATCAATCTCAATTTAAGACGGCGAAATGACAGACCTCAGCAGTTAAACGCACCGGGCTAAGGTATAAATCACGCTACGTAATAAAGAAAACGTACAAATGACGCAACACCGCGGATTTTGTATCGCGAAGCTCACACCTGGCGTGTGTCGCCTGGATATCACTCACGCGAGACACTTAATAAAGCCGAACACATCAATTGTTCCTAACGCGAGAAATGACAAACGGTGATACACAACGACCTATGTAAACTTACGTATTCGATTATGAAAATGCAAATTAGGAAAGTAATCTGTTATTACGAACATCCACGTCATACCTACGTAATCCCTTTAGATTGTAGCCAGCGCTTTTTACACAGAAAAAGATTCGTGGAACTTCACAATGTTTTAAGCTAATAATAAATTCTGAAACAAAGTATGCAGATTTTGTTTGAACTACACTCGAATAAAAGAAAACCTTTTAGCTCTTAGTTTCGCATTTGTGATAACTGTGACCCTTTATTTGCATTTTACTTAATATTATGAAAAACAGATAAAGGTAACAGCGGGATTTTCATTTTTAAACATAAAGCTTTCATTGTTGTAAAAGGAACGTTGTCTGTGAAATAAAACCAACATTCGTGAGCCCTATTCCTTGGAGTAATTTCGTAGAGCGCGTGTAATAATTGCCCGAAATTAAATAACATTTTTCACAACAACGAAAAAACAGCACGGATGAAAATTTTGCGGAAGGACGGCGGATTGTGTTGGGAAAGAGGCAGTTATCGTTTCCTTCGCAATTTCTCAAGTTAATGGAGAATGATGTTGAATGATGCCTTCATGATGAAGACAATGGTGACATTGTCTATAAATACAGGGACTAACATTATTTGTCTGGGGGCTCATCAGGACCAGGTAGGCGGTACGTAGCCAGATACGCGGGGACGTAAACCATGCTGCCCGATCTCTTTAATGATCTACATTTATTTTTTTAACAAAGACTTTCATTATGAGAAGAACTTAATATTTGTACCTTGTAGCCAAATAAAATATATTTCTGTTTACATAAATCACAATGGTACGTATTTTTCCATCGTAACAACATTAAGTGTACACAAACTGATATCTTCTACAATGTCTAATATCGTTTAATGTAAGTATTAATAAAAAAATGTAATCTGTTCACATATAATACGTGCGTAGCTATGTACGGATGGGACCTACGACGGAAATTCAATTCCCTAGATTGGTTCTTCACGAGATGGTATTTGGTTTTACTCTCGAAAGAAAACTGTGATCTTTTTTCGATGAGAAACATACTCAAACGTTCTTCCAATATGTCATTTGAATGAACGTGATACGAGGGGCCCACATATCAAAATATAGGGAATAAAAAATACATGAAAGGTTTACTTATAACAGACGAACGAGCTCGAGCCCTTTTTACAGATAGTAAGGACGCAGAATGATATGTTTACGTGGTCAAAGAGGAGTACCGAAGTCCATTGTCGGGAATCAATACGGATAATGTATTAGTGATATTAAAATGTGCTGAATGTTCCGGGAACGATGGGACGTAAAGATTCTCTTGTTATTTATGATAAGTATCGATGGTAGATAAATATTTATTGTTGTGTGTAATGATTGAGTAGTGATGGTAAAAATGTTCTTATTGAATCTTTGCTTTTTATGTTAAGTGAAAAATACTAATTTCATTAAATTCACGTTGAATATTTGTCACTTGTAAAGTGCAAGTGTGTGTGATACTTATAATATACTGCCAAAATTCAAAATCGTTTGCAGCTTCCAATGTGAACTACCTGGAAATCTGCAAGTCTTTGCAAGCTTGGTAGTTGAAGTCTTAATGTAGAATGTTACAAGATGAATAGTGTATTTTATTTAAATTTAATTCTTAAGACAATAAAACTCATTATAATGAATAAAACGATAACACTAGATATAACAAATAATACCATTTGTTCCTAAAGTGGCAGCGCGCGATTTTTATAGACCTCATAAAAATGGCCGACAGAGCACTATCGTGTCATATGAAATATTTATGTGCTACTAACACTCTTCAGATATCATTAATCGATAGACAATATTCGGGATGAGTGTTCGATATAAATAAATCTCAATCTCAACCACACATTTTATTCTTTGCTATTATTGAAATTCAATCGAAACATGTACTTAGACAACCGTTCGCAAATTCGCCGAAATAAAATCAATGCAATTTTCCCACAATGTATTGGCTCGTATCGATGTCAAATAACAATTTTCTCCAGTGTGCACTACACATATAGTTTGGAAGGGTAAGCTTATAATAAAACTCGTGTCGTGAGTACCTTGTTTCTGTGGCCGAATAAAATAGGGCGAAACGAGAGAAAACGAACATTTACGATGCGAATGAAAAATCGCTTCGGCATTTATGACGTCATTGTTCCTGAGAATGAATCTAATATGAAAAAAATAAAAGGGTCTAGCGTGGAAAGGCTGTAACGAGTCAAATAATTTTTATTGCGATTTCACGAGCTTACAGTCTGATTTAACTCGACGTGTGTAAATTATGATTTAATTTAATAACCAACGTTGAAAACGAGCGTAAATGTTTTTATGTGAGATAATATACTTTTCATTAAGAGTCATGCGTTACTCGCACAATTTTATATTCATGTTTTATGGGCACAAGCAACTCGACGGAATTGAATCGTTAACAAAAACATACATGGATTTGCGTAACAGCTTGCTACAAATGTTGCCAACAAGAACTCAATATACCATCTGACAAAATACTGTTTAGTTTAGGGCATTAATAATACCGTTTATGTTAATCCTCTAACTCGTTTTAAGCTCTTAACAGAACAATTTTTCACCTTCGTGCCTTGAGAGTGTTAATTAAGTTATTTTGCCCTGATTAAAAGAAGGGGTTTACTGACGTTACAAGGAAAATGAATCAAAAATAAATACTGCTACGTGGAAAATTTGCTAAAAGGGAACTTCGCTAATAGTAACTTTACACAAGAGTATAATATATTAACTTGAATATACCTTATGCACGTACATAATAAATGGAGCTTGTTCAAAGAAATTTTAAAGCAAGCTAAATTGTGAAGTAAAATTTGAGACAAAATCATTTTCTGGGAAGTAAGATAAGCTTTGCACAAGGTAAGCTATTATGTTCGTTACCGCTAATGCGAGTGAGCAGCGTGTAGACAGACGCGGCGCGGCGCTAACAAGTCTGCGTGTAAATCAGGCGGTGCGGTGTGCACTAAGCGGCGGGCGGCGGGCGGCAGGCGCGCGTTCGATCCCATCATCGCTAGTCGCACCGTGTGCGCCGCACATTCGTCTAATGCTTAATATCATCCCGCCCGACCGCCTTCGACTAAGATGTCGAAATTAACGATCTTGATAATATTTGTCGGCTCAGCGCTGCCAAGCTCCACTCGTAATTAATTGCACCAATTTGTTCTGCGCTTATAACGGACATTTGTCAAGCGCCCACCCGCGCCGGATGATTTTCGCACTAACTTCATAATCGATATTCGGAAATATCGATTATCGCCCAAACTCTTTGCCCGAACTCAGATATTAAGACGTTCCGCAGTCATTAATAAGCCGTAACGATGTTTTCTTCGATTCCAACCAGCAATATAAATTCCAGTAATAATTTATTGTGTTTGCAGTTGCCGGTGTAGTGGAGATGTGTGTATTAAAAATTCAAAGTGCGACTGCGATAAATTAGGCAGATAAACGAAACGATGTAAAAGTTAACAATTCTCGTCACAACTAGGAGGCAAACCTCTTAGCCCCAGAACAATATAAGGAGACATTACTCGCTGTCACAACTCTAGTTTATAGGGAAAGTAGGAGCAGCGAGTTTGTGTGAACTAAGTTGTAGGGGCCTGGTTACTTTAGTAACGAATAGAGACGTCAGGAGGTAACCACCACTCGAGCGCAACTCTCGTGCCATTTTAACTCAGGCCAAACTATGCAGGGC